ATATTTTCACAGGACTGAATTTCCGGATAAGTTCAGAATAATGATGTCCACATGCCAGATTGTTAACAAAAACTTCTCCCAAGAGCAGCATGATCCACTTTTCTCAGTGCTGGAAAGTATACACTGAAAATAGTATTGATAGATGTAAATGACCATAAACATAACTTAACCAGGAGGGTTAAACAAACAAAACTCAACCACGAAAGTTAAACAAACAAAACTTAAGCAGGAGGGTTAAACAAACAAAAATTAAGCTGGAGGGTTAAACAAACAAAACTTAAGCAGGAGGGTTAAACAAACAAAACTCAACCACGAGGGTTTAACAAACAAAACTTAACCAGGAGGGTTAAACAAACAAAACTCAACCACGAGGGTTAAACAAATAAAACTTAAGCAGGAGGGTTAAACAAACAAAAATTAAGCTGGAGGGTTAAACAAACAAAACTTAACCAGGAGGGTTAAAAAACAAATCTTAAGCAGGAGGGTTAAATAACCTAAACTTGACCAGGAGGGTTAAACAAAAAGGTAAATCAGAGCTGATGCTGATTCAAACAGCTGTAATTCTTAAAGTGGGGATAAATGAAGTTTTGTGAGTGATGGTTGAAGTGTTGGTAATAAACATTTACCATTTCTTTCATGAAATGTACAGAAACAGCACTATGTATTGTAACACTTGGGATATTATTTCAAGGGTAACACCAAGTAATAAAACAAAACTAACATTAGATGGTTTTACATCACCATATCTTTGTGAACAAATTTCATATAACACAGATAACTCAGGAAAAACATGTCCAGTCACATTTGGCCTGCAAATGTGTTCCTATGATATCCATATCATCAAAGTAAAATATCAAAACAATTTTGCAAATGCTGTTTTGTATGTGTTGATTATTTTCATTGTTTGCTTCACAATATTTTTACTTTTAAATACATTTTCAAAACTTAAATGAAAATAAGCATGACTCAGACATGTGCTGCTTTAAATGTCCATAAAACAACACAAAAAAGTTTTGAGAACAGAAGAACATTTCTAGATGATGATAGCTCTTTTTTAACCTATAATTGCCTACTCTTGAACTTGTGACTGGTAAGGAGTCTTTTGTATTGACAAGATTTCATGAGGGAATTTTACTGATAAAATAGTCCATCTTATGTTAGTTGAGTAGCATTGTACATTAACATTTTTGTCCTACGTTCCAGAATTGATAGGAGATGGCAAATATCAAAGGATTTCTGTGAGTTTTTAAATAGACATGATTTATAAGAACACCACAGAAGCATCTGAAAAACCTTTGTTGAATCACTTTTGATAGCACTTGTAAATAAGTGATAGTGGTGCAGTGAGTAGCCAAGAAAGTAACCAGCTGATATAAATTTGATGTTTGACAACAACATTGTGTCTATGTCCATTATCATTTTTTATATCTTTACTCTGTTTGTAGTGTTATGCTGAAATTTTAGAATTTAAGAAATAAAGAACAGATCATTGTTCAGGTCCAATAGCAATTTCCATTTCTTATAAAATAGTATAACAAAATTCTGCAAATTTTCCAGACAACCCTCGTTGACAAGCAGTGTATTTTATCAAAAGTATTTGTAAATGTAATTTGTTATACCAACATGATATTTCACCATATTGTTTCTAATAAATATTGTTACTATTATTACTAATAATAGATCTACTAACACTGGATGGTTTTACACCATGGTTTTGTGACCAAAATTCAGTAAGAAATTTTATCCCCCAAAATATGTCTAATAATATTCCATTACATTTGACCAGCAAACGTGTCCCCTGGAATTGTTTTCTGTGATATTTCCATTTGATTTTATGTATATTGTACACTAATGAAAGTATAAGACCCAAATGTTTATACTTTTGACATTTAAACATCATTAGTTTAAGTTAGTATTGGTGTGGCCCTTTTATTTATGATATTTCACCATAATAATTGTGATCCAATCATTAAGAAATAGTATGATATCACCATAAATTATTTCTTTAAAAAATGTCACTGCTAATGTTTATGATAACTTCACCATATATACCCAAAGATGTGAATAACATATTAGCTTGTTCTAGTTGTTTTTTAAATAGTTTTTTTTCTTCTTTCCTCTTTTTTTTATCGTCTCAATTATACATCTTGATGAGTCTATGATTAGTCATTCATCATGTTCACTATTCTTTTCTTCGTTTCCTCATTCACCTTGAAAATAACTGATTTTTAATGTTGATGTAAAGTTTATTATTCAATGCTACATAGCATAAAGAACATTTAAAAGAAAAAGCATATAAGTAACAATGTATACAACAAGTCTGATAATGTTCAATGATTATATACAGCATTAACATTATGATTATTCGTTTTTACGTATTGAAATGATCATAAACTGTTTTAATTGTCTAGTGTTTACATTGCCATCTACTTCTTAACAATAATCAAAGTTTACGTATTGTTGGCATAGCAACTGTCATCTTTGTGTCACAATAGTCACAAACACTATTTTTACATATTTCTTTGATTGCCTCCAACACCAACGCAAATCTTCATACTTATACACAAATATGATTTTAATCCACAGTTTTTTTGTGTGTTTTTTTGTTACTTTATAACTTTATATTTTGATTTTTTACTATGTAACTGAGATTGTTCCCAACGTCCATAACTGCGTTACCATGGCGAGCCCCATCAACTAGCAAACTCTATTGCTGTATTATGCCGTTGATGTATCAAGAGTTGAACAGAAAATGTTTCCTGCCAGGTTCTTATTTCATGCACACCACCTTGAACATTTAAAAACATTTATACATGTCATTCAACAAATCTACAGACACTTTGTTACCACAGTTTGAATGTAAATAAAGATCACTTCATATAAAAATGTATTTTAATTGACTTTTTGAACATTTTTTAATCTGATTACAAGATCCATGGCACCCGTCATTTCAATTATTATCTAGAATATTACAGGAAATGACTGGTACAATTCATATATGAGCCGTGCCATGACAAAACCAACATAATGGGTTTGCGACCAGCATGGATCCAGACCAGCCTACGCTTCAGCGCAGTCTGAACAAGGTCCATGTTGTTCAGCAACAGTTTCTCAACTTGTTATACGGTTTGTAAGCGAACAGCATGGATCTTGATCAGACTGCGCGGATGCAAACCCATTATGTTGGTTTTGTCATGGCGCGGCTCATATATGTAACTATTACTTAGTATAATGTTGGTACTGTTATAAAACTGGTACCAATACATGACTTGTACCAGGTACATACAGGATGTATGGATATTTAAAAATGATTGGCTTCATTAAAGCAACATTATGCCCATAGTAAAAGTCAAAATATGTTTTCATCTTGCCATAATTTGCCATTTCAATTTAATCATTTTCTTGCAAGAGGGATAAATAATTGAGGTAGCCTGAGGCAATTTCTATAAATATCCATTGGAAATTACATGTAACATTCAATGTATAAAACGAGTGGGACAGCCTTTTTATATGTGAAGCAGATTTATATTCTATCCTAAACACTTTCCATTATCAATTGTTCATCAATCATAATTATAACAGTCAATCTTTTAAAATATACAGTCAAGTTAGCTCAGCTTGACAATGAAAAAATGAACATAATGTCACTTTAACTTTATTTACAATAGAATCTACCCATACAACCAGCCGTAATCATAATGATCAGAGACAGTTACTCTGTCTGACTATCGTCAGTGATTTTTGCATTTTGGTACTTATGTATTTAGAAAATTTTCCCTAAAAGTGATGAAAAATTGAAATATGAGTAAATTCATTTAAGTAAAGGTTGAACAGAATGCACGGTTGATTTTTAGCCACTAAAATTGTACACTAAATTATTAAAAATTAAAAAAAATATTTGAGCATTTTGGAAAGCACATCACATAATGCTGTTTTATATGAAACTATAGTGAAAGCTTTCTAGCTTAGAATATTCATTTTTTTGCATAGCCTCGTTATATTGAGAAAAACAATGCTGAAATACATGAGCAATTTTCATAAATTACTTTTTATTTATATTATAATTTGCAGTTACAGAGCTCCAAGTATCAAAGCTGACACTGGTTTTTTAAAATATTGTTTGAATATGAACACTATGTCATGCCTTGTTCAGTGATAAGTAAAATTATTCGTAAAGTTTTTCAAATGTGTGAAAAAAATCATCAAAAATTGCGTTTATCATAATCAAACAACAATTAAAATAGCAGCTACACTATCATGCACACTGGCCTATGGGCTAATTGGCCAATACATAGCACTTTATTTTTTCCTACAGCTTTACCTATGGTATATAATTTCAGGCATAAGCTAGCTGCCTATCTTCCTAGCATAAATAATTCATAGTCCTTGGCTAGATTTGGCTCCACAGCAGTTACAGAACGCAAATAATACTAAGTTTGTGACCATTACCAGTCAGGCATTAAGGCCATTCAGAACACTTCAAGGCATTATCCAACAATTTAAAACACTTAAAACTGCTATATAAATTCAATATATGTAACACGAAAGCTATAAAATGTCAAACTATTCTACAGCATTATATACATTAATATATGATTACAAAATCCCTTAAAGCAAATATAAATTGCCTTGTGGTCTGTTCAAAATATGTTTACAATATATACTATTCTCAGTGTGAAAATATTTAAGAAATAAGGCACATCAAAACCCGTAGCAAAAAACTCTTCATCAAACTATACTTTGAAATTGAAAAAAAGAAAGAGTTCAAACAATGGGTATTTTGCAAATGAAACATAAAACATGTAAAATAAATTAAACTGATTAAATATGTGAAAAGTTGTTTATATCATATTTGATATGTGTATGATTCATACAATGAATAGTGGATGAAAAATGTCCAATTAAATATAACAATAATCTGAAGATAAAATAAGAAAAATATTAGCTTTATATTAAATATCCCATATAATTATTCATTTTTTTTTGTTTTTGATTCTGTCTATATCCCTTATAAAAAATTTAAGAAAATAAAATTTGAGGACTGACTGAATATTGCCATGGTGACATTATCCATTCAGTCCTCAAAAATGTTAATGTAGGAAGTTGCATTTATTATAAAACATAAGTTTCATAGCTTTGGATGACAAATATACATAAAACATATTAATATATAAACAAATAATAAAGAAATAGTGTTGGGGCTTATTTCTTAAATAGCCACGATACAAATCACATGTGCAATAATAGCTGCTATCATAACATATCACATCACAAAAAGATATATTTAACAAGTCAGAGAATAACAAAGTGCTTAAATAAGTTCTTGTTGTGGCATACAATTCAATGAATTTCAATAATAAATTCAGACGAGCAAAATGTAAAGGGGAAAAATACTTTAAATGAATGAAAAAATAATTTAAAGAATACATATATATGTAACTCTGTTTATATGTGCATGGTATAACACTACCAAAGTCTGTTATATGTGACGAAACTATGGCAACAGTTAAATGTGTACTAAAGCTATTACCGGTATATAAAAACTTTATATTTCTTAGTAAAACAATAGATACATTGTACAAAAAATAATTCAAAGTTACACATAGATGCTGTACACATGTTCTAAAATAAAAACGTGTCACAACTTTTACATGTTTATCATTACATTCTACAACTACATTATTTGAAACAAAACATGTAACAATAAGACAAACAGAACTGTCTACATCAACTAAATACATAAAGCATGGACCGGAGGTGTTATAAATAGAAAAGGCCTGATGAACAAGGTGGTGTGCACTTAATATTTCCTGACATAAAGGAATGCATGCGCTCATTTTCATTATCAACATAAAGCACATGCTTATCCCAAGACGGGATACATACATTTTGAATTCAACTCTTAGCGGGGCTTTTAAAAATCCTTTTTTGTCACCAGGCCCTGGCAGTTTAAAGACATGTTGGGATCCTCAAGCATGCTGTTTAACTCTTTGTTGAACCTGTAAATAAACAAAACATTGTGTAGCAATTACATTAAATTAACAAGAATAGTTCAGCTTTAATCTGCCGTAACTGCCAGTGGTTTTTCTCACTAAATTGGAAAGAGGCCCTTGCCTCTTAACTTTGAGAAGAATTATTGGTAAATTTGCTACTTTGGGAAGTAAAAAAGCTGTATATGTTCAGATTTTTTTTTGGAAAAGAGTGTGACTTTACAGAAAATTTCCATTGACAAGAGGCCTGTTACAGGCCTTTGTTATTTTTGATGAAAAGTTTTTCTTTAAATATCAAATCAAGATGGAAATATAAAGTTAATTAGCCAACAGTACAGAGCCTTATCTGACTGCACAGACATGAAGACTTGCCTGGCTCTATACTTCTAGCAAACGCTAATCACTTTCAGTTCCAGTTTACTGGAATATCTTAAAATACCACTGGGTGTATATGAACTATTAAATATTTTTCTCACGTTAAATATCAAATAAAAGAATCCCGCACTGCTACATATAAAAGTACAAAATATATAATCCAAAAAAACTATTCTTATTTTTTTTACATTGCACATGCAATGTTCTTTAACACACATACTTACCTCTCCAATAAATAATTGTTGGTATGCAGTCCTTCTTTCATGTCATTTACCACACTCTTAGATTCTTCAAGACTTTAACAGAAATTAACAAATTTTTTAAAGAAGACAAAGAGAATGTTGAAAATATTACTCATACAAATGTACAAATCAATATAACAGAAGTGGTTCGAGTTAAAATTAACAAATCTTAATCAAATTTCATTGATTGCAAAAATTTGGCATAATTATATAAACAGCATAACACAGAATTGAATACAATAAAAGATTCAAGGTATATACTTCTCTTTTCAATTATTTCTTAACTGTTTGAATGCGAGAGATATAACACAAAAATTTGTATAAATGTGGGGTCAGTTTTTTTGAACAAATGAATAAAGCTTGACAAAAACCCACTCTATTCATGTTCATAAACTGAGCTCAATATACTTAATATCAAAACAGAATTCACCAGAGAAATTCTGTACAATTATAATACCTTGCTTGTCATACCAAATATGTACAGCTACTGTATGTACAAAGATGAAAATAAAGTCACATCAACACTGTTAAAGTTATATAGTGATTTGCTTACTTTATATATAATAGAAGATTCAAGATTCACTGCCACCCAAGTAGAACTACAAATCTTACTTATGTCTGCTTCCTTGCCTAAAAGAGTTCCATGACCCTTGTGAAAATTCAGCAAAAATTAAACACAAAGATGTGATCAAAACTGAACCAACATATGTGATTAAAATTAAAACACAGATGTGATCAAATCTAAACTCACAGATGTGATCAAAACTGAAACCAAAGATGTGATAAAAACTGAGTCCAAAGATGTGATCAAAACTGAACCCAAAGATGTGATCAGAATTTAACCTAAAGATGTGATAAAAACTGAACCCAAAGAAGTGATCAGAATTTAACCTAAAGATGTGATAAAAACTGAACCCAAAGATGTGATCATAACTGAACCCAAAGATGTGATTAAAATTGAACCCACAGATGTGAGCTAAACTTTTCTTTCACAGAGGGTCTCAAAAGACTGAATACAAAACATATGAAAATTTCATTCATTTGAATACATACCAAGATACAAATGTCTGTATCATTTGTCTTCTTATTTTTTTATTCTCTTCTTTAGAAGAACCACTAGCAGCCATGCTCTCTGTTAAGCTACTGGCAATCCCTTGTCTAGGTGTTGCCAAGGAGATAAAATCTCTATCACTCATTGTCTCTTGAACTCTCTGAACTTTCAGCTTTATTTCATCATTGTACTTCAGGCAAAGCTGTATATAATAAAATATAAATCAGTCATGAATTAGAGTCTTGAATTTGAGTCAAGAAACATCTCATTAGCATATTCCTCTAAAAATAATTACATAGTTGAACAAGAGCCACCGCCGGGTGGGGGTACGCTCGACTTTTTACTTTCTCTAAAAGCAAACAAAGAAATGTTTTAACAAAATCTTAACGTTTCCTTTTTATAAAATTAATCGGTCTGTCTTGTCATATAAGTTTTGTCTATATATTTTGTATATATAAATATACTAAATTATATATATAAATAGAAACACGCAATTCTATAAATAGAAACATGCAATTCTATAAATAGAAACATGCAATTCTATAAATAGAAAATTCTATAAATAGATACACGTGGCGGAGTCACGTGGCGGAGTCATGTGGAGGAGTCATGTGGTGGAGTCACGTGGTGGAGTAACGTGCTGGAGTAACGTGCTGGGATCACGTTGTGAAGTCACAACAAGGTCTTGTCATTAAGTATGTTCTGTTATAATATGAAGTTGATCCCTTCAATAATAGCAAAGTTACAGCCAGTTACAGCCAAAACAATGAAAATTTCAATAATTTGAACTTCAAAGTCAAGGTCATTAATGAGTGAAGGTCAAGGTCTGTCTGGTTATTTTTAAGGGTTATCCTTGAAGATTATTATGTTCGAGTTTGAAGACAATCCATTCAAAAATAACAAAGTTACAGCCAATAATAGCCAAAAAAATGAAAATTTTCATAATTTGACCTTCAAAGTAAAGGTCATTTATGAGTGAAGGTCAAGGTCTGTCTGGTTATTTTTAAGGGATATCCTTGAAGATTATTATGTTCAAGTTTGAAGACAATCCATTCAAAAATAACAAAGTTACAGCCAATAACAGCATGAACAAGCAAAATTTGGACTTTTAACCTTGAAGGTCAAGGTCATTTCTTGATGAAGGTCACGGTTAGTGTGGTCTTCTGAAAGGTCTTGTCTTAAGGGTTGTTGTGGCCAAGTATGAAGACAATACACCAAGAAATAAAAAAGTAATGATCCAGGTACAAGTTTGGCGGCGACTAATAACAATACCTCTACTTTTTTTTTCAAAAAAAAAAAAAAAAAGTCGAGCTAATAAATGAGTCCAACTTTACGACATTTGGATTTGGAAATTGTTAAACTTTAAAGGACTTGAATATCAATTTTTTCAATCATGTAACCATGAGTATATAATCTTGACTTACTGAATGCTGACCTACTATACAGATAGCACAGTCCTGTCATGATCACTGTTTATCAAAGAATTAAAATTAAAATTGATTTATCATTTAGGTTTTAAGAACAACAACACTGTAAACATAATATGGTGACTTTCCACCTTATTAATACAGAAAGACCTCAGGTTCCCTTCAGTGCATTATTTAAGACACAAGTGGGCACCTAAGGAAAAACACCAATGTTCTGTAGCTAGCTGGATAACTTCCCCACATGAAAAAAGCAGAAGTCCCTGATATAATTCGAACCTACAGCAGTGAGGGCCAAGTGGTTTGAAGTAAACAATCTTAAACTCTCAACCACAGATGCCATTGATTAATATTGTAATCATGTTTAATGTAGGCAATCAATCTTCTCTGTGAAGTTTTCTTAGGTCCTGATCTCCATTATTCATGTTCAAATTGCAGAATAAACAATTTCCCTGACATTAAATATTTCAAATAAAGAGGTATATTACAGCATTTAGTTTGTCCACAAATCCCTCTGATCTATCTGCAAGATTCAGCAACTTCTTCTCTAATATTTCACAATTCTGTCTTACATCATAACCCATTCTGAAAAATACATTTCAAAATCACTACTGATAGAATGTAAAATTAAATTGTATGTATCAAGGAAAATTTAACTAATTTAGTAGACTTATGCTGTATTTATTTTTAATTTGTTTGATAAAATTATATTAAGCCTCTGAACAGGTCTTATCCAGGTTTAAAGCAGCATGCCTCCAGATTCTTAATTTCACTAAATTTTGAGTAAAATATAATGAAGTAACCAAAAGAAAGCAATTTACACATTACAAAGAGCACTCAATAGACATGCATGGTAAAATACCAAAATCAGCTCTAAATATTCAAAATAACCTTTACTGCATTTGTAACACAGTAGAAATATTGTTATAAATAGTGAAAAATCAATCACTAATCACAAAAAACACGTAAACAATTACTTAAAATCTTTTATCTTTTCCTAAAATCATAGTTCATTTTTCTTAGTTTTGACTTTGTTGGAAATATTTAGGCTTATCTGGAATTGTGCAGCTTTAAAGATGGATAAAAAGAAATACTAGATTAGTAAAAAGAAATCTTTCCCTTTGCTAAATTTTTACAAAATACGAAAAAAAAAAAAAAAAAAAAAAAAAGAAAGAAAGAAAAAAGGTTTGCTTCCAACCCCATTATTTTCAACATTTTTAATACAAAAATATCCTACTGCTTTTTGAGTACATTTCGCAATGGTTTCATGTAAGATTCACTTGTTTTCAATAAAATATAGTGACACATTTCTTTCATTTTAATCACAATATAAACAATATTTAGACAGAAAATGTATAGCTGTATACACTTTCAGTCACTGAATTTACGATTTTGAATTTACTAGCCTAAATTCCAGTTTTGAATTTATTCGACTATATATTTAACTAAATTTTCTTAAAATTTTCACTGGCCCGAACTAATTTTCACCATGGGCCAGTGCTAAATTCGATAACTGCACTTTAAAGGATAAATCTGTCAACTGCTTTGGTCTATTTATTTGTACAGAAATATGTTATATACCTAAACCATGAGTGGTAGCGTGTAAACTGGTCTTTGGCTCCAGCAAGACAGTGGTCAAAAAATAAAGACTTGATCTTTGTACAGTTCTCACTTAGCCTGTTTCTGTAAGGAAAAATAATTGAGCTGCGTCACGACAAAACCAACACAGTGGGTTTGCGACCAGCATGGATCCAGACCAGCCTGCGCCTTCGTGCAGTCTGATCAGGATCCATGCTGTTCACTATCAGTTTCTCTATTTGTAATAGGGTTGGTAAGCGAACAGCATGGATCCTGATCAGGATCCATGCTGGTCACAAACCAATTATGTTGGTTTTGTCATGAGGCGGCTCATATACTGTTACATATATTGAGAATTGGTAAAACTTTGATTACATAAACATGTATGTACTTGTTACATAGGTTGTTGTTTGAAATATAATTTTATTACTGTTAAATAAGTTTAATAACCGGTAGAAAAAAAAACAAGCCTCTGACAAACATTAAAACATTTTTTCAGTACAACATTAGTTTAATTTCATATATAATTATTAATAACAATAATGAGAGGCTCGATATATCACATGACTTAAAATGAGCCAGTATAGTAACATTTAATGTTTTCCACGTCATTTTTATCATACAAGCTGTAAATCACTAATGCAATCACAAAGTCAAATAACTTTCTTATACATATAACACATGTAAAATGATGAAAGTTCATAATAGTTAATTTACATAGAAAACCAAAAGTTCAGTGATTAAATTTTGATATCAGTTATTCATTTTCATAAACTAATAAGCTATTAAGCAAGTAAATGTCCTAAACCTATGTGCATGACCAGTGGATACCAAGATCAGCCAGAGCAGTGTATTGTCTGATCATCATGGTCTGCAATGTTCACTATTCAGTCAACATTTATTTTGAAAATTTTCTAAAAATGATGAATAGTTTTGTCCAGATTGAAAGATAGACAAGTCAATTTAAGATATTTAGCACGGTTAAGGATGAAACTAAAATCTTACTTCTCATATTTATGAATTTGTTCTTCATTAAAGGTGAGACTGGGACGTTTCCTGTCTTCTGAAAACTGTAATTTGATTTTCAATATTTGTTCCAGAACCACTTCAACTTTTGCAACACTGAAATAATAACATCAAATAACACTTATTAACACAAATTTCATTTGATCTGACATTTAACATTGTTAATATTTAACTTATCCTGGTTTGGGGCAACTAAGTGGACAATTTAATGCAATTTATATAGGTCACTCAAAATAATATGAAACCATTCTATTTTTAGTAACAGTGACCTTGAGCTTTACCCCAGGGGGTCCAAATGCAATACCAACCAAGTTCTTCAAGTAAGCTTGCTTTACACAAAGTTTGATGATAATATCTCATTCCTAACTCTTGTTATTGTTCGGAAAACATTTATCTTTTTGTTTTAGTAACGGCAACCTTGGCCTTGACCCCAGACTGAGAGGTTCCAAATGCAAAATCAACCATGGTCTTCATATAAGCCTGTTATACACCAAGCTTGATTACAATATTTCATTCTTAACTGAAGTTATTGTCCGGAAACCATTTTTCTATTTTTTAAAAATGGTGACCTTGACCCTAGTGGGCCCAAATGCAATACCAACTGGGATCTCCACATAAGGTTGCTATATACCAAGTTTGATTACAATACCTCCTTCCAAACTAGTTATTGTCCAGAAACCATGATGTGAACCAACCTACTGACGGACAAACCAACAAGGTTACTCCTATATACACCCCTAAACTTCGTTTGTGGGGGTATAATTAATGCTATTTCAGTAATACTTTGACAAGAAAAAAAAATTACTATAATATAGCCTGAAATGCTCCTTATCATTTTAATAACAACTCTGTGAAAATATGTTGAGACATTTATGCTTAATAATCGAAAGCAACTTTAAAATGTTAAAGCCTTTCAATAATTGACCTATTCACATGTAATAGTCATATGTTTATAAGTAAAGATTTCATTTTATGTGAAAAATTAATAGAAATCAGTCTATCTTTTACAATTTTTTCATAAATAAAGAATTTTTTGTATTGTGAAAAAGTGTAATATAGGAACAGACCATCTATCTTCTGATATACACCCAACACTATCATTCCACTGCTTCTTGAGAACCTTTTTCTGTAACTCTTGATCTTTGAGATCAACAAGGTGTACAAGTACCTCGTTGCCAAGTGCTGTTATCTGAAGGAAAAAACAATCAAAAAGTTTTGAATGAATTCACATTTCTACAAAACAACTTTACATAGAGGATATTGGATGAATACAGAATTTACTGAACGAGTTGAATAAAATTATATTATGCAAGGCTCAATAAATTAAGTAATGAATTCTATATTCTATTTATCACATATTAAAAATGAATACCCTTTGAAGTAAAATAGAACCATTTTTATTGAAGCGCCGACAGAGTTACGCTAAGATTTAGCCCATGTTAACGCAATGTTTGTATAACGCAAATGACGTCACGTCAAAATACATTTATATGCACTGGTGTGCAATACTATTTTTACATAGTCGAAAAAGTGGCACATGTATGTGATAAATCAAGTCAATTTTAGTCCTACTGTTTAACCTTTACTCTCCTGAATATCAAAAATGGACTTTTCCAGGTGTATTTTTGAAACTGTCCATTATCAATTTTCGGGGATTTTGAAATGAAAATTAACAATAGGTCAGTCAACAGTATAGAGTCTGGACCTGTGAAGGCTCTCCTGACTCTCTACTGGAGGTGAAGAATAACCACTTTCATTTCCAGGAAGGTAAAGATTAAGTTCTGCAAAATTCATGTCAGTAATATACTCTGTGACAAATACTGTCTGGATACTATATAAACTAAAATCCTGTTTTTCATGGAAACAACAACCTACCTCTTTATCTGATTCTTTGAAAAAAACCTGTCCTTGTACCACAAATTGTGGGGTTTATCATTGTGCAAATATTACCATTGTAAAAAATATTTTCAAAAGCTAAAAAAAAAAGACATTACCATTAGTGTTGATAATGGAATTCTGTTTAAGCCAGTGCTAGGTGGTGTGAGATATTGTTGCACTTTTCTTAGTCCCCCATTATCAAATTTCACCTAATAATTTTGCATTTTATTGTTCTTGAGGAATCTCCTCTATTTCACACTTTACCTGTGATGAGAGTTCTCCAATACTCATTTCACTCCGTTCATGAAAAGTTTCAAGATCTGTTATAATATGATTTAATTGAGTGTCTGTTTTCACTATCATTCCAACCATCGTTAATTCCCTTTTGAATGTTCGTAGAAAATTATCTTTCCACTTTGTAATACTGTCACAATTCCTTTCCAAGAAAGTATGATAGTCCACTAAATGTCCAAGTTCATGATAAAGTTCATGGCTGAAAAATAAAAAAAAACTACAAGTATTTGAAAGTTAACAGTGAAACAAGAACTGACAGTATGAAAGCACATGCCAGCTATTCAGGGTACTTAAACATAGAAAACAAGATCCTATATTATGAAGAAATACACCAAGGGAGTGAATTTTTGTTAAATCTTTGACAATTTTAATTTACGAAGTTCACAAAGGGGTATACTTGAGTCCATATCAATGCTTGAGTTATACAGTGACCTACAATTGATGTGAAAAGTTTCACATCATGTGACATATATTCCAAAGGGTTAGAGGCTCATTTAAACTTTAAACTGAAGTTCACAAACAGCTATAATTCAGTCAAAGTCATGCTTGATTTATTGTTCTTTGACAGTGACATTCAGTTAAACTTAAAGTAGGAAGTTTCTAAGTTCACAATGTACAATTCAATAAAATTCTTTAAATTGTCAAGCTAAAAAGCAATTTTTTTCCAAGAAAATTCTTCAAAACCGGAAATTCTTTAGAAAATAAAATTCACTGGAAAGTGAAATAATGATATTATAACTTTGTTCAACTTGCTCTGTTTATTACAGTTACTACATTCTACGGCAATTCCAGTATTTTCATAACATTGTATTTCTAACAAAATAATGGCTACTTACATATACATGTGTACTGCCCGTCTGACAAGTTCTTGTTTCATAGAGTACAACTCAACTTCCTTTAGAATATAACAACTTATTGCAGAACACATCTTGGCTATAGCATAATCGTCTGTAGTTAAACTTGATGTGAACCTCGGAAAGTCCTCTGAAATGTTCATTGTTATGTTAATTTATAACATTAGAATAAAGATGTTCATAACAACGTTAAGAAATAAATCAAGTTATACTCTGACAAAGGTTACATTTTGAACCATCATTATTAATAAACTTACTCATATTCTGTAATATATTTATACAATCCTTATACCTTTATTCTTATTTCCATTTTATTTTATTGGAATTAAGTTTTAACCTATTCTATGATGGTTGTATGGCCAGTTTCAACATTAAAAGGAAGATGATAGTCTTGTTGAACTAAAATTCACAGCAGTGACATGCCAGTGATAAAAAACTTAAGCTCCATTATCATGGAGGACATATAAGTAACACTTTTGCAGAATTCATCATACAAACTGAAGGTAAAAGACCTCTGACAGCACTAAATGATTCATATAATGTATTGTTAAGGTCACAGGTAAAACCACAACCACAAAATAGATATTGGCTACATATAACAACATTTTCATACGAAAAAAAACACAAAAACATCTAAAGCACAAATCCTAATCAATAGAAGCGTGTAATTAAAAATCAATTTTAATCATCAGGTTTGTTGTCAATGATGCAGTCAAAATGAAAATATTAAATATAAACAATTGCATAATTGAACTTAAAACAAATTCAAATATATCTTCCAGCTCTGATGAAGTATTGTAACAAAACAAACAGCAATTGAATAGAGTCAAATGCCAGAACTAGTTTACAAAATACTGCAAATTGGGCACTTACTTATGTTTGGTACAGGAAATCTTGCAAAATCATCCATGTGTTTATTGTAGACAAAAATTGGGTTTGTTTCTGTGATTCCCTTTGGATAACTTGATATGGGTAACATTGCTTGAACATGATCCTTTAATTGTTGACCATCAAATATCAGTAACTGACTAGGAGCAACTATTTCAGTCTGTTCCGCTATCAGTTCTTGAAGAGTTGTTAAACTATAATTTAAAATTTAAGTTTATTATAATATTTTATCTAATTCATTATAATATCTAAGCTAATTAATTATATCATTACAAGTATTTAAGGTAATAAATAATACCATAGCAAGAGGTATTGTTTTTAAGACAAGCACACTGAAATATTTACAGTACTTGAAAATGAAACAAAACTTTAAAGTCAAAAATGGAAGTCAATAACAACTAGTTTAACTAGAGGGCCTGACCTGAGAATAACAGCCATATCAAATCAAAATTTCTTATCATATCTTCTATAATGCAAAAGTAACTCACGGGTCTGTATTCAAATCCTCCAAGTTTTTTATATATTTTGGTTGGGTTTCAAACCAAAACAGTTAAGGTCACTTTTGGCAACCTTTCAGCTTTTCTGGGGAAGGAAGACCTCAGGTGTCCGTCTGTGCATTATTTTAGACACCAACGTAGAACTACAGACCCTCCAGAGTCTAGCAGAAAAGCTTCCTCATATAGAAGAATCCAAAGTCACTGATTAGACTTGAACCCACAGTGGTGAGAGGCAAGTGATTTGAAGTCAGTGACCTAAACCACTCGACCAGTGGCCCTTATGCATTGACTGCAACAATTATACTTACTTGTTTTCACTTTTAATATATACTTTGAGACTATTCCATGTATGTGGACTGAAAACATGTATCACTTTCTTTTTCACAATAGAGTCAATTTCTCTAAAACAAGCGTCAAAGTTCCACACTTTGCTTGGGTCAGATTCCAAAAGACGAGCAAATATTGGTGTTATCAAAAGCTTTAATCCACTGAAAAAAAAAAAATCAATAAAGATATGTTGTGAAGTTAATAAAATACAAGTTCATGTATAAAGTTTAAAGGTGAAAATATGTTACAATCATAACATCCATCAACAAAAATGTTAAAAACATGTAAAAGTTCTGTAAATTCTTTATCAAATATGGAAATTATGATTTTGGATAGATTTCAATAGGGTTTTAACCAGAAAAAATCTTCCTATTCTTGAACAAGAGGGCCATGATGACCCTGAAGTCGCTCACCTGTATATAGGCCTCCGTAGCGGGGCTAGTTTAAATCCCAGGGCTTTTATTTGAACAAACTTGGTAGACACCCATTAGAAGATGTTGCATGCTAAACATCTAAGGTCTAGCTGGTCAAAGTTTTTCTTTTCACATATAGTTAAAAACAATGACACACCTGGGGAAGGGCCAGTTTGAACCCAAGGGCTTTTATTTGAACAATCTTTGTAGACATGAAAATATTTCATGCTTAATATCTGAACTATAGCTATTAGGATTTTTGAAGAAGATTTTTAAGTTTTTGCTATACACATATAAGGAAAATCAATGACCCCCGGGGTGGGGCCAATTTTGACCCCAGGGCTTTATTTGAACAAACTTTGTAGACACTTACTAGAAGATGTTTCATGCTTAATATCTAAACTCTAGCTATTTGGGTTTTTTCAAAGAAGATTTTTAAGTTTTTGCTATACACATATAAGGAAAATCAATGACCCCCGGGGTGGGGCCAATTTTGACCCCAGGGCTTTATTTGAACAAACTTTGTAGACACTTACTAGAAGATGTTTCATGCTTAATATCTAAACTCTAGCTATTTGGGTTTTTTCAAAGAAGATTTTTAAGTTTTTGCTATACACATATAAGGAAAAATCAATGTCCCCTGGGGCGGGGCCAATATTGACCCCAGGGCTTTTATTTGAACAAACTTTGTAGACACTCACTAGAAGATGCTTCATGCTTAATATCTAAACTCTAGCTATTTGAGTTTTTTTCAAAAAAGATTTTTTAAGTTTTTGTTATACACATATAAGGAAAATGAATGACCCCCGGGGCGGGGCCAATTTTGACCCCAAGGCTTTTATTTGAACAAACTTGGTAGACCCTCACTAGAAGATGATTCATGCTTAGTATCTAAACTCTAGCTATTTGGTTTTTTTCAAAGAAGATTTTTTAAGTTTTTGCTATACACATGTAAGGAAAATCAATGACCCCCGGGGCAGGGCTCTTATTTGAACAAACTTGGAAGACATCCATTAGAACATGTTTCATGCTAAATTTCTTAGCTCTAGCTCTTTGGGTTCTTTAAAAGAAGAATTTTTAAGTTTTTACTATATGCATATAGGGAAAATCAATGACCCCCGGGGCGGGGCCAATTTTGACCCCAGGGCTTTTATTTGAACAAACTTGGTAGACACACATTAGAAGATGTTTCATGCTAAATTTCTTAGCTCTAGCTCTTTGGGTTCTTTAAAAGAAGAATTTTTAAGTTTTTACTATATGCATATAGGGAAAATCAATGACCCCCTGGGGCGGGGCCAATTTTGACCCCAGGGCTTTTATTTGAACAAACTTGGTAGACACTCACTAGAAGATGTTTCATGCCAAATATCTAAGCTCTAGCTCTTTGGGTTTTTTAGAAGAAGATATTTAAAGTTTTTTCTTTTGGTTGCCATGGCAACCAGAGTTCTGCATGGAATTAAATTCTTTGAACAATTTTCAAAGGTGACCACCAAAGGGACATTCCTGTGAAGTTTGGATGAAATTGGCTTAGTGGTTTATGAGGAGATGTCATTTAAAGTAAAAGTTTACGGACGGACGCCGGACGGACGCCGGACGAAAAGCGATCACAAAAGCTCACCCTGTCACTTTGTGACAGGTGAGCTAAAAATTTAATCCAAAATATTAATTTCTATCTCAAATACATACAATCCAGAGATAGATCTGTAATTTCAATGGAATTGTACATATTCAATATGTCAGTTATGAGTGTTAACAACAAAAGACAGTGCATGTTAATGAATTTATTGTAAGATTTAGACCCTCCTTTCTTATACCAGTAAGATCCATCTAACAGGTTAAGTGAAATAATGTATCATAATTGATAAAATATTTTATGGATTCATGATTTAACATTCATTTATTTAAAGTTTTTGGTCCACAAGACATTTGATCATGCAAAAGTAACTAGTATATCATGGTACATGTACATACATACAAGACAATGAATTCTTACTCAAAAAGAATACACTCTACTTTTCTATGACACATTCCTAAATACAATCATGTGATTGTAAAATTGACTAATGTAAATTTAAATGGTGATGTTCTTAACCTTTTCCCTGATACAGCCCCCTTAATTTACTGCTTTACACCCCATAATACAGTAGCCAGATAGATAATCAATAATCAATATCCTACTGATAAGGAGTCACACACTATCTCCATATAGGGTATGATAAATTATATGTAAAATTGGTCAAATTAGATACCTATATACTTTAACTGGAAAATAAAGTATTAAGTTGTGTTTTGACAATTTTTGTGTCAATAAAAAGTTTGTAGAGTATTGAAATACCTTTCCAATGGTATAAATATCATATTTGTTGGGTTTATACAAATATGTCTACATGAGTTATAAAGTAATAAACTATATACTTGATGGTGTTTTTTTCTCCATTGTTTCAGATAAATTAGGCTACTTATGTGTTTTAACTAATGTGAAATGGTTTAATTACAAGTTTGACAATATATATGTCAATGTAAGATTTGTAGAGATTTGAATTATCTTTCCAGTGGTATAAATTTTATATTTGTGGGCTTTATAACAGTATAATTACAGTAGTTATAAACAATAAAATGATGTACAATTTTTCTCTCAGGGAAATATGGCTAATTTATTATTAATTTTTTTGGTTTATGCAGCATTCATTTTTAGTGAAATAAATAACAACAAGTTCTTTTTTTACCTTTTTTTATACCAGTAAAAAGAAATCTCACTTTGTTTTTTTTTATTTATTTTATCAGTTTTTTTTTTATAATTCATTTCATAATAGTAACTGTCATTTCTGTAATACATGTATATAGATAGATAGATACTTTTTATTCCTCCAATATTGAAGAGCAAAACATATTTACAAAACCGAACAATAACAGAGCATGGCATATGTACAATAAATTACAAATCATAACATCTAAGCAAACATCATTTGTTATACAATTCTTTCAGATCGAATAAATATATGGAGATATGCTGATATCTACATTTATCTCATTTATGACATAAAATGTATGTAACAGACTTTAATTATATAAAAACCACATCGTATATTTGTATTTACTCTGCAAAAACTAGAAGTTGACTATCAAATTATAAAGTATACAGGATACAAAAGATATATTTAATTGCTAAAGTTTAGTTTGAGAATTCATGTATATTCATATCTTTCTTCGGTTACTTCTGTCAAAATTTTACTCAAAACGAAATAGCAAAATGATGACTAAGTTATTAGAGTATTTAAAGGTACTCTTAAGAAAAGACGACATTCAATGTTACAATACCTATCATACTGTTATATAATTACGATGAATTTTTTCCGAGGAAAACAAACAAATTATAAAAACAAAGATAGATAATGATAGTTTTTATGAGATCATATCAGTGTTTAAGGCGTTACGTTAATGTCTCACAATAATACAATTATATATATTTGAACAACTTGTATAGGCATTTTGCTATATAACTGTTGAATGAAATATTTCAGAATTTCTGCTGTCATGGTCATATATTTTCTTCATGAATTATGAATTTAATTAAATTTGATCATTTATAGATCTAATTTAGATCTAATGATGATAAAGGAAAGACATCCACGGCCTTTTCGGCATTTTCATGTTGCCGACATCAAAGATGATATATGGGATATGATTTTATCATGTCGTATAATACACGGCCCCATGCTGTGTCTGTTATGAAAACAATAGCGCACATGAAAGAATTTAAACTATTAAACATTTCTTTGTCGGTCATTTTCTTAAAAAAATCGCCGCTGCTACCGGAAATATTTTATTGCAGGGGCCAGAGAGATACCCCTAGTCAGGACGTTAATTAATCCGTGTATATACACATGTCAGCTGTCATAAACCAAAACAAACATCAAATCCATTATACCATGCCTGGCACGTGAACGACCCGTGATCATATAAATACTATTTATTCATTAGATGCTATTTTTAGACACTTTTGTTCCTGTCTTACGATACGTTCTATATTTATTTCATTGACCCGCGCACTCATTAACTGCGTGACGTAAGGAAAACCCCTCACCTGGTTGGTCGCTAATTATACAAAAACTTTAAATAGTAACACCATAATTTTATGTGCGGAATCCCCTCATGAAATGTTGATCTTTACGATAACACAATTTACAGGTCTGATTTCCGGGAAAATTGTTGATTTTTGGACAGGTAAATATTGAAGTCGGCGAAAGTCGCTTCCATTGAGATCATGCATGTCGGCGATTCTCGCTTACATGCGGTAATCAATAAAGCCGTCGATTCTCGCTTCTATCAGGGAATGGTAAAAGACGGCGATTCTCGCTTCTATAAGGGAAAAGGTTAAAAGATATTACTACAGTGACCCTAATATCTTATAAACTAAAACAAGAGGGCCATGATGGCCCTAGATCGCTCACCTGATCCATTAAACTCATCCAAACAATTACCTAGACAAGCATTCTGACCAAGTCTCATGACAGGTGAGTCAAAAATGTGACCACTACAGTGTTAACAAGGATTATCCATATTTGAGCAGTGTGACCTAGTTTTTTACCCAGGTGACCCATATTCAAACTTGACCCAGAAAATCATCAAAACAAACTTTCAGACCAATTTCCAGGATACTTGGATCAAAACAGTAGCAACTAGAGTGTTAACAATATTTTTCTATTTTTAGCTCTGGTGACCTAGTTTCACATGCGATTTCAAACTCATCCGAGCAATTACCTAGACAAGCATCCTGACCAAGTTTGATGATAATTGAGTCGAAAATGTGACCACTAGAATGTTAACAAGCTTTTTCAATATTTGGGCGGTGTGACCTAGTTTTTCATCCAAGATGACCCATGTTCGAACTTGACTTAGAAATCATCAAAACAAACTTTCAGACCAATTTACAGGATATTTGGATCAAAACAGTAGCCACTAGAGTGTTAACAAGATTTTTCTATTTTTAGCTCCTGTGACCTAGTTTTTCATCCGAGATGACCAATGTTCGAACTCATCCAAGCTATCAACTAGACAAACATCCTGACCAAGTTTGATGATGATTGAGGCAAAATTGTGACCGCTAGAGTGTTAACAAGGTTTTTCTATTTTTAGCTCTTGTGACCTAGTTTTTCATCCGAGATGACCCATGTTCAAACTCATCCAAGCTATCAAATAGATAAGCATCCTGACCAAGTTTGATGATGATTGAGGCAAAAATGTGACCGCTGGAGTGTTAACAAGGTTTTTCTATTTTTAGCTCCGGTGACCTAGTTTTTCATCTGAGATGACCCATGTTCCAACTCATGCAAGCTATCACCTAGACAAGCATCCTGACCAAGTTTGATGATGATTGAGGCAAAAATGTGGCCGCTAGAGTGTTAACAAGGTTTTTCTATTTTTAGCTCCAGTGACCTACTTTTTCATCCGAGATGACCCATGTTCGAACTCATCCAAGCTATCACCTAGACAAACTTCCTGACCAAGTTTGATGATGATTGAGGCAAAAATGTGACCTCTAGAGTGTTAACAAGGTTTTTCTATTTTTAGTTCTTGTGACCTAGTTTTTCATCCGAGATGACCCATGTTCGAACTCATCCGAGCTATCAACTAGATAAGCATCCTGACCAAGTTTGATGATGATTGAGGCAAAAATGCGACCGCTAGAGTGTTAACAACAAAATGTGAACGGACGGACGACGGACAATCATCGATCCTAAAAGCTCACCCTGAGCATGCTCAGGTGAGCTAAAAATCATTATGTAAGGATTTCCATGCAAAAAGAAATAAGTATACAATTAATGTTTTTTAATATGACAATACACACTTACTCAGACAGCCTGCATGTTTTTGGTAATTCTTTACTCCATTCTATAGTGCCTCCCTGTGAATGCTGAACACCCATTATTACTCCACTTTCTTTGTGTCTGGTGATTTCAAACCTGAAACAAAATATAATGGTCAAAAACCGGACCACTATAAGAAAAATTCATAGCACATGTTATATACACATACATTTTAACTTTCATTTCAAGGGAAACTACTTGAGCTTGCTTACATGATTCCTTACACGATTCATCATTTTACTTATTTCCCTTGATATTTGTTATTTTAGCTTTTTAATATTTTAGAATTTTTAACTTTTAGTATGTTAAAATGTTGACAAATTTAAGTTTTATTTTCCTAGCAAAGTAGAATATTTATCCAGAAATCTTTAAATGCTTCCTGATAAATTATACATCCTATTCTGTCAATGAAGAGCATAATTTTGTACTCATCCCCTACCAACCTGTACGAAAATTCTGAGCCAATTCTGTACAGACTCTGTACCAACTCTGGTTGTTATAGAGGCAGATTTTCATTTTTCTGTACAGAGTTGACACCGACACAGAATTGGACACAGAATCGGCCTAGGAAATAGGTGATTTTCTGTGCAGAATAAACCAGAATCAAAAATTTTTCTGTACAGAAAAGTTTTCACACAGATATTTTGCTCTTAGTTATTTTTACAAGACAGAACTTCAATACTTAGAAAAAAAATTGAGGCAGAATTTACATAGACACACAGAATTTGAACACTTAGATAAATCTTGAGACAGAATTTACTTTTCTAGCCAGAATTTCACTCTGAGTTAATCTCAGAGTAGTAGATAGATATTCTGTAATATCAGGTGTAACCCCCATGTAACCCCTGTTGGTCAATTCAAATCTCTCAGGCTGCCACACAAGGTTTTATTACACAAAGTGTCTTCACATTGGCAAAGATTAATATTATGTTTTGTTTAGTTTATTTTTCTTATGATAAGTTAACAAGTTAGTTGTTGTGAAAAGCAATCAACAATCATGTAGAGACTTGAAATTCTCAGATTTAGGGGCCAAAGAGGAATTATGATGGAATTATAATCAAAACCAGAGGTAAGATTAAAATTTGCAATGTTTTCTTTGAATTTTTCTTTGAATTATTTGGTTATACCTTCCACTGTAAATAAAAGAAATTATTTATACATCTTTTAATAGTCTATGAATTATCTATATTAATTAAATTTACTCTGATTTGAGACAGACCACTATGGTCTAATGAGTATAAAATTAATGCACTGAGGTCAAAGCTGGGCCAGTGAAATTATTAGTTCATATATTGCTTTTTGATCAGTTGATAGGTCAAGATGTATTTTTTTTTTAATTTCTTGCTCTATTATGCAATAAATAGTTTAGCTTTTTGTTTTGCTATTCTATAATTCAATTCATTTAGTTTAAATTAATCAATTCAAAACTCCCGGAAATTGTGTTACTATTTTAAGTTATGTTGCAATTACATGACTGTGTAGATTTGTAACACAAGCAGTTTTACTAGTCAGTGACTTTGATGTTACTTGGTGCAAAAAAACTTAAGGTATATAGGGATACAATTTTAACTGTTTTATATACACATTGAAATATTTTACAAATTTTGCATATCATTTAATAATAGAATGAACATAATTCAAATTCCTTTTTTTTTTTTACTCTAGATTATGTCAGGATGTGTGTGTGGTGCAAAGACAGAGACAAGCCAATTCCTGATGACAGCGCCCTCAACAAGGCTATTACTCATTGGATAGGCCTCTCCAGGAAAGAAATGAATAACTAGAAATGTGTCATCATGCCACGGATGCCCCCGCATGCAGCCAAAATTTCAGATGTTATAATATTTAGTTCCAAATTTGTTTGCACAAATTATTGTTTTCATTTTAAGTTCAAAGCCCTTAAAACTTTTCAACGTTTACACAAACCATTTTCATACAATGTTCAAGGCACTGAAATTATTCAGTCTTAACCTTTTGAAAATAGCATATTTCATATTTGTAGCCAAAATAATGGCTACATACATTTCCACAAAAGTATGAGTGCTGAAACTGAAAGTTCAAATTTTTTCCAACATTCAAGAAAGATAAGTTTGTCCAAAATCATTGAACCACAACCAAATTCAAACTTAAACTGCTTATTCCTGAGATGTATCTATATTATTTTCAAAGTGAAAGGGACATAACTCTGCCAAAAAATCATCGAACCATGACCAAATTCCAACTTGACCTGCCCATTCCTTTGACATATCCATATATCAAATTTGAGTTGAATATGTAACACTGTTGGGTAGATAATGAACAGAAACTGTAAATTTCATATTATTTTCAAAGTGAAAGGGGCATTACTCTGCCAAAAATCATTGAACCATGACCAAATTCGAACTTGGCCTGGGCATTCCAAAAACATATCCATATGTGAAATTTGAGTTGAATGTGTTGTACTGTTGGGGAGATAATAAACAGAAACTGAAAATTTCATATTATTTTCAAAGTAAAAGGGGCATAACTCTGCCAAAAATCATCGAACCATGACCAAATTCAAACTTGACCTGTATTTTCTCATGACATATCCATATGTCAAATTTGATTTGAATGTGTTGTACCGTTGGGGAGATAATAAACGGAAACTGAAAATTTCATATTATTTTCAAAGTAAAAGGGGCATAACTCTGCCAAAAATCATCGAACCATGACCAAATTCGAACTTGACCTGTATTTTCTCATGACATATCCATATGTCAAATTTGATTTGAATGTGTTGTACCGTTGGGGAGATAATGAACGAAACTGAAAATTTCATATTATTTTCAAAGTAAAAGGGGCATAACTCTGCCAAAAATCATCGAACCATGAACAAATTCAAACTTGACCTGTATTTTCTCATGACATATCCATATGTCAAATTTGATTTGAATGTGTTGTACCGTTGGGGAGATAATGAACGGAAACTGAAAATTTCATATTATTTTCAAAGTAAAAGGGGCATAACTCTGCCAAAAATCATCGAACCATGACCAAATTCGAACTTGACCTGTATTTTCTCATGACATATCCATATGTCAAATTTGATTTGAATGTGTTGTACCGTTGGGGAGATAATGAACGGAAACTGAAAATTTCATATTATTTTCAAAGTAAAAGGGGCATAACTCTGCCAAAAATCATCGAACCATGACCAAATTCGAACTTGACCTGTATTTTCTCATGACATATCCATATGTCAAATTTTGATTTGAATGTGTTGTACCGTTGGGGAGATAATGAACGGAAACTGAAAATTTCATATTATTTTTCAAAGTAAAAGGGGCATAACTCTGCCAAAAATCATCGAACCATGACCAAATTCGAACTTGACCTGTATTTTCTCATGACATATCCATATGCCAAATTTGAGTTGAATATGTGCAACCGTTACTAAGATAATGAACGGAAACTGATGATGACGGAATGACAGAATGACGGAATGACGGAAGGACGGAATGACGGAAGGACGGAATGACGGAAGGACGGAAATGACGGAAGGACGGAACAGGTAACACTATATGCCCCCGCCATGGCCATTACATGGCGGGGGCATAAAAATTGTTAATTGAAATTAATAAACAAGAAATGTTCAAAAGGAAAATTGATTTTGTTTTTAGCCAAAAAAACGAAAATCTGTACAGAATATTTTCTATACAGAATTTTTTCTGTGCAGAATTCCCTTTCAGATATTTCCTATGGACAGGGTTAATTCTGTACAGAATATGAAGAAGCCCAGATTATTTTCTGCCCAGATTTTTTTTCTGCCCAGATTTTTTTTTTCTGCCCAGAAAATAATCGGCTTAATTTAAATATTTCAGAAAAAATCTGTACAGATTTCGTTCTTTATCCTTATTGCTAAAATCTATTAATAGAATTCTGGTTCAACTTTGTTTCATTTGACCAGATTTTTTTCTGTACAGACTCTGTACAGAGTTTTCTAAATAAAGTCTGTACAGATTCTGTCTGCATTCTGCCCAGACTTTTTCGTACAGGAACAAACGATGAAATTTAAATTATATATCTTACATTATTTGTCTGTTTTTCCTTCCTCCGAATGGTTTAAAAGGTAACTGCCCGGTTGCAACATGGAAGAAGGTAACACCCATGCTCCATAAATCTACAGTAGCAGTAAACTGTCTCCTATTAGGGTTTCGTAATACAGCTCTCTCGTACATGTCCGGATGCTGTAAAAAAAAAAAAAAATTGTTGTAATTTAAAAAATATGGGTTTACAACATTACGTCAAAAAGACACTATATAGAATACGATAATCAAAAGAAGGGATCTATTATAGAATGGACAAATGATAGAGAGCAACAGACAGTCGAAAAATATTCAAACCGAATAATGAAGCGCTTTATATTTTGACAATGTGTCGCAGAGGTAGAGCTGTCATCGATAGAAACAATATAGATACAACGATATTTTTCTGTTGATCAATAATCGATCCACATTTCAAAATATCAATAATTTTCACTTATTAATTAAATGTCTAGAAATTAGAAAATTTTACCATCACATATACCGAAGCAGGTGTCCATTTCTATCATTATCTGTTGTTACATAGTGGAAATATTTCACAGCAATGATGACAAAAAAATGGTCTGGATAAAAATCATGGAATGGGATTTTATAAACAAGACGCTCATTTAAACAGGTATAAAAATGAATGACAGACAAGTAATTTTAGGTAATTATCAATATATTTGATATTTGACATCCGACATCGATATAGTGTTGATATGCCTAGCTTGCCTTGAATCAACGACAGCGCTACGCAGAGGTGTCTCCTATTGTTATAATTCATCACTGGTCTAGTTGATTATATAATCTATACTGTAAAACATGTTCCTGCAGTTTGAGCATTTAAAAACTAATCATAGTAAATGCAGAATTTTTAATGTGCTGTTTGTTATTGATGCATGTTTTTTTAAGTTATACACTTGCTATCAAATAAAAAAGAGCAGGCAAAATGGAAAAGACACCAAGTTCTATAGGCTCAACAAAGTTAACTTTACAAGGATATAATATACAGACAAAAATGACGCAAAAATTGGGGAAAATATATTGGAAGTGTGAAATTAAAATTTGAAAGTGTCGCTTTATCTAAATGACTGTTCAGCATGACTCTTAATAAGGAGATAATGTCAGCTTTTCTGTCAAAATTTTGAGGGAAGCCTCAATAAAAAGGATAATTCAATGTCAAAGATGTAAGGTACTTCTTCCGCATTTTATATTTCAGGAGAAGAAAACCAACGAGAAACTTCTGACACTCAAGTTAAGGATTTCCATGACAGACCCCATCTGTACTTAAAAGGTGTTGCTTACAATTTTCAATACTGAATATATCTTGAAAATAACGAACATTGAAAACCAATTTGATTATAATTATATCAAAATGAATAAGAATAAATTATGAATCAGTCTGCTCTTATTTACTTCCATCTACTTTTGTCTTATTATATTCCTGTATTTTTGAAGTGTTTTCCACACAAATCAGCATTTTTTTGACAATATTCAACATTATATTCAATCAAATGTCCATTCTATACTTTGCCATATTCGACCATTTGTCCCTTCTTTAATAGTCGTATTCTATCAAATATCTTTCAACGTAATGTCATGCACCGAAAAGATACACAGACACTTTAAACTGGAGGTCATAATTTATGGAGACATTCAAGTCAGTGAATTAACAAACATCAATGGAGAGTCCCTTTCCTTACTTGTTATTGTGAAACAATACAATAAATAAACAAACAATTTTCGCAGTAGCCTTACACAGATATAGCAGGTCTTACATGTGTCTATAATATGTCTGTATGTCACTCACAAAAATAGGTGCATGGCTACATTCCAAGACAATTTAGGTGTTTTTTTTTTAATATTCATCATAACAAATACATGGATTAGTTGAGAAACACAATGTATTGTCCAACAATATTTACCTGGCACTTCATTAACTTTCACTAAGGTCACTCAGGGTAAACAGATATATTGATATATACTGAACCAAAAAAGAAACTTTTGCAAAGTATGTGCCAGTTGTTCAAGGGTACCAGTTAGATGTACACACTTATATACATGTAGTAGCTTGTAAAACTCATTTTGTTTGCAAAATCGGTCAGCTAATCCCCGTATAAAAGCCCGATATGTTTATTCAACGTAAAAATCGAGTTTCAAAAGGATTGAAAAACTGTACTAACATATCTACATTCAAACTTGGAGAAAGTTTCTTTTTTGTTTCAGTATATTTGTTATCATGGTGTGGTGTATTGGTATAGATGCCTGGCTATGGATCTGAAGGTCTCTGGTTTAATTCCTTACCAACATCATGTTATGAGGATACACAAAAATTTTTTTGTAATTTAATTGCAAAAACTTATCTGAAATTGTTTTAGTACATCTGCTTTTATGATATCTTTCCTTTTAAGTAGTGTTTTTTTTTCAAATAATTATATTTTCTATTTCACTGCATTATCTTGAATAAAAAATTTGGCGTGTTTATAATACAAATCACTGGCAGTGTCAGTTGTACCAGCCAAACAGGCAGTTTTAAAATTAAAATAAAAAAGAAATAGAAGTGGTTGAACCAGGATTTGAACCTACGATTTAACGTCTTGATTCCTGAATTGAAAGACCTTTACCAACTGTGCCAAGGGATTCTTAATTTATACCATTTAACAAGTGGTTTTATACATTTTTATCAATTTATTAACATTTAAGTAGATTGTAACATTAATGAAATTTACTAAGTCAAGGGTCAAATGCAAGAGTTGTTGAACCATACACTTGTCTTTGTGGTTTTCTCTCTATTGTCATTAAGTGAGCAGTATTTAAAGTTTGTCAAGCAGGACGTGTTTTTTGTCTTCCCTTATTACATCTTAGCCAATTATATTCCTTTTCTTCACAATCCAACTTTGTACTTTTAAGTTTTCAGAAATCAGAAGAAATGTTTCACAAATTGAGAAAAATTGCTTACAGCTTCTTATTACAACTTACCATGCATAATTATAATTATGTTATTGCACATATAATTTTCAGCTAATGTAATTCAATAAACCATCCAAAGTCAAATACGAAGACAAACTGCTTTGCAACTGACAGCTAAAGAAAGAAAAGCAGTAAACTTTGATAAAGTGCCAAGTCAAAAAAACTTTGACTTTTTTTGACAAAGTACCATGCATGTTAGAAACAGTAAGTATTAATGGAAGTACATTCAATCTAGAGCCAACTTTTGATAATTTTTTAATTCTTTTGATTTCTTTCAACTTTAATCTCATTTAGGGTGTGTAAGGAAATTAAATACTTCCTTTTCACAAAGGTGAAATTTTCATTTATACAAATGAAGAAAACAACAACAAAAAACATCCTTTATTGCTTGGGTTTAATGTTTCAAGCAATTATGTAAGGAAAAACTTTTCCTTGACTTCCTCATATACAGGTACAGTATTGGATTAGATTTCAAAGATTTCAGAGTCATCATTAAAATTTTTCTGACACAGCACATTAGGGGCCAGTTACACAGACGGTCGGTCACCAATTGGTCATTTAATTTTAAATTTACTCGCTGTTATGATCTGTTGTCATGCGTGATTTATTTCTGTTTTTCTATGTAAACGGCCATCGGTGACAGAAAGCAAATTCAAACGGGGTTGGGTCGGTGATAAAAATGCTGAAATACATTTGGTTTTTATCGTTTGTAAATCTGGCGTAACACTGATTAATCGGTGTTTGATAGCTAGTAATCAGTGGTTAAACACTTTCCGTCAGATATGGCCGGTAATTCATATTTGGTTATCTTTGTCCGATCGACAATATCGGTGATTAAGAGCTTGCATATCTTGTGATATAGGTTGCTGTCGGTTATTTGTAAAATATTTTCACCGATCGAGAATTTTAAACATGTTTAAAAATCCCAATTGGTAATTTTTCACCGATGAAACTTATCTTTCCCCAATAGCAGTTGATAGGTGGACAACAGGTGACCAATAGGTGATATCAATGTTAAATATGTTGTCATCGGTTCACTCCATAATTTGGCTAAAAAACTACCGATCAATCACCGATGGCTCTGTGTAACTGGGGTAATATAAATTTTTAGTTTTTCCACATTTTTGAAGTTTTGAGGCAGCCCATAATGCATTTGAGAAGGTCAATCAATATACAAGGCTGATGTCAATTTAAGGTTTTTGTTTAATAAAGTAATAATGCAGTATTATAAAAAAGATGTCTCATATGTTATATGACTGGGTATAAATAGTTATTTGCAATATAACCCTCACCTAGTGGCTCTGGTTATATTACCTTACAAACATTTACATTTATCATGAGTCAGACATCTTTAAAGAAGTACATAGTGTAGGGAGGCAAATAAAATCCTAAAATTTTTGACTGAAGGATGGATGATAAGTTATCATTATGATAAACATAATCATGGTTTTTAATCTAAAAGTGTGCTTACTTTCAATAGTTATATAGTAAATAAAAAATTCCCACAGAATTAAACATTTTGTTAACATAACTATAACTGCATTTTTGATGACCAATATTTGCTAAACATGTTGTTTTTTTCCTTAAATTTGCCACTGTTGTTATTTCCATTTGATGAATAACATAAACATTGGTGTTAAAATGTATTTATTATACTGTCCCTGTGACATAATGCTCATTTACCTCACATTGATAAATAGCTAATTTATATATTGGTATGATTTAACCCACATATTGTTAATATTTAAGATAAATTGTCATGTTGTTCCCATGTTTGTTACCTGATTTAACAATAAAGAGGATTGTATTGTATTGTCTTGTAATATATTGTATCATATCTCAAAATCTCCAAGTCTCACTCCTTTGACTGCAAACAATTTTATGCTTATTAACTTAAAAGTTTTGACCCTGCATATGCAATTAGCAGTTACATAATCAGCCACTGTGACCTTGACATTTAATCTACTTAATCTTAAATTAAAAGTCTGATGCAGTTCACAGTAAATTATCTTAAAATGATTGACATCTATAAGCATAACACTTCATAGAGTTTTTACACAAAGACCCCTAAAACAATAAGGCATTTCCTACAAAGTAAAGTCCAGGACTACAGATAACATTTTGTGTAATTACCCCTTGTTTTGTGATCTATTGGGTTTTTTCTATTTTCTCAAGAGTTATATTTCTGTACTTTTTACCCTACCCTCTCTAACAAATTTGGGTTATAAAGCACGAGTTCATGTATTTTACCCAAATTTCTGACCTTCATTGTAGACTGTTGTAGGTTTTGTATGGTAATTAAAAAAGCACTTTACTACTATGCTTTATGGTTTATTGCCCTAGGGAATTTCCAAGCTGCCTAATATAATTAAAGTTTAAAACAGTCTGAAACAGTATGATGTACTGCGTTAAGTATAATTTACGTCATTACCCACCACTTCAAATGTAGTTTACATAAATAAGAATTAATTGACTTTTTCTTACCCTTAGTTATTATATCTATTGTGTTTTTTTGACATTTTAATTGGGTAATAACGCAAATACACATGTTATCTGCAGCCCTGGTAATCAAGGCAAACAATTATCTTATGTACATACACTTGACTGACTTTAAGTGCTATTTAACCTATTACGCGATATACACGCCTTTTTCACCCCCCTTTTTTTGTTGTCTCATATGGTGAAAAAATGCCTTATTTAGGCCCCAAACACTTGTTCTTGTTTGAGAAATGTTGTAAAAAAAATGTGACTACTTTTTTGGCGCGGCCCCCCGACCAAAAGATACATCAGGGGGTTGCCAGAAGGGGGATGTGCCCCCTTCTGTTTGGGGGGTTTGAAGGGGGGCGGCATTCCCCCTCATCGCCAAGAAAATTTTGGACCTGTGAGAGGCTAAAAATGACCCCAGATTAATCATAAGGTAACGTGTAACCAACGCTGAAAAACATTTAACTCTATCTCAATCCATTGAGAAGTTGCAGCACTTTGAAATCAATTTTGATGGAAAAATCAATGCAAAATAGTGATTTTTGGCAATTTTGAGATGTCTTCTCATTGCCATGGTAACAGAAAATTTAAGCCTGAGCATGTTGTTGCAAAGGCAATGGTCCAGTCAACATTTGTGCCAAGTTTGATTAGTATTGAAGCACTTTTTATAGTTTTATAGCAATTTGAACTTGCAACGGGAGACTTTTCAATGAAAACAGCCATTTTTCACAAAATGCTCATGAAGTAATGGGTTAAGTACATTAATTTTGTACAAGTTCATTACACTGTGACATATCAGTAATTAACATAAGTCTGTATTTTATTGCAATTTGGAAAATAACTTTGGTATATTACAATAAGATCTACATAGTTATTGCAAATTTCTTGTGAACCAAACAAAATGGTAGTAGATAAATCTGTCAAATTTCATGTGTACAATTACATGTTAACTTGTGGGCTTTTGACTTGTGCTATAAGCTTGGATGGTAAACAAATTTGATAATATCATGCCACCTGTTCATTTCTTAACTTGTGAAGTAATTCAACACTATTCAAAAAGAACATTATCACAGATATCAGAGATCATGTAACAATTTGGTGTTTAAAGTTTGTAATAAGAAGCTTTCATGTGACCATCATCTCATTCCTTGCACTGACATAAGTGACATATAGTGTAAAGAAATATACATCCAAGATATACTTCATTTTAGTTAATTATTTTGCTAAAGTATATGTATTACATACTGATACTCAAGTATCCAATGCTTAATGTTCTTAAGTATCTACTGCTTAATTCATAATCCAATGCTTAATATCATGTCTTAATATCTCACTGAAATTTAACTTTGTATCCCTCCCTGGAAGGAAATAATTGTTCAAGATCCACTTTTGCTACATTTCATATCAGAAGGCATAAAAAGCTTTCAGACTTTAGTTCTATAAACTATAAATCATCTAAAGTCACTCATTCACTGTTGGGATGATTTTTATGCCCCTGAAGGGCACCATATAGTTATCTCACTGTACATCCTACTGTCCTTCCTTCTGTACACTCTTCATCACCAAAACCAATAAGGGAATTTCAGTGAAACTACACAGGATTGTTTGTCACCAAGCCCAGTTGTGCATACTCACTTGATTTTCCCCTTGATTTTTTTTTTGGCACAGTTAATGCCCCATAATGGTCAATTTTTTATTAAAACAAGAGGGCCATGATGGCCCTGAGGTTGCTCACCTGTATATAGGCCCCCAGAGTGGGGCCAGTTTAAACCCCAGGGCTTTTATTTGAACAAACTTGGAAGAAACCCATTAGAAAATGTTTCATGAAGTTAAGTTTTTACTACACACATATAATGAAAAACAATGACCTCCCCCCCCCCCCCTTAACAATCTAACCTCTAGCTCATTGGGTTTTTTAAAAGAAGATTTTTTAAGTTTTTACTATACACATATAGTTAAAAACAATGACACCTCTGGGGCGGGGCCAGTTTTAACCCCAGGGCTTTTATTTGAACAAACTTTGTAGACACCCATTAGAACATGTTTCATGCTTAATATCTAAACTCTAGCTAAAAATGTTCTTAGCCTTGTAAGTAAGTCATTGACCTTCTTTTCATAAGCTTAGTTATAGTAGACTAGTGTGTACCCAGATAGGTAAAATAGGGAAAAAACCCATTAGAAGATGTTTCATGCTAAATATCTTAGCTCTAGCTCTTTGGGTTCTTTAAAAGAAGATTTTTTAAGTTTTTACTACAGTGGAGCCTTGCTAATCCGAACCCTTCTAATCCGGAATCCTTTCTTATCCGAACGAAGTGTCCGGTCCCAATTTTATTTGTTCTATTTTCAATAGTAAAAAGCCTTTCGGATCCAGAACCTGTCTACTCCGAATTCCGGACGATTTTTTCAATTTTTGTTCTTATTTTACTCTAAAATTAACCTCTGGGATCCGAACAGATTTTGCCAAATGTCACACCTACTTTCAAAATAACAAAAAATCGCACATCTTGTAGGTGTAAACAACACCAAACTGATAAGAGTAATTTCGCTTGATTAATGGGTGAAACATATGATCTGCGAAGGTGTGAAAATTACACTTAGCTTGCCTTCATATCTACTATAATTGCTTAATTGATTGTTTTTCGTCGCCTTCAATAAATATTTTGATATAATGAAATAGAAATATCTTTTTATCTTCTGTAATGGATTTAATGACATGTGATTAGGTAATGGAAATTAATGGAAACTGTCAGTGAATTCGGATAATCACTGAATCGGATAAGAGTAAACAACAATTGACAAATGCTGGTACGAATATTTAATCATGTCTCAGCCTTCTGTTTAACATCGTAGATTAACTTACCCTTGAGAATATAACAGTTTTGCTTATTTATTTTTATTTATCTATTTATTTTTGTATGCACATGTATTAAAATGAACGATAAGAGATTGCAAAAATAAATAATTTTATTGCAATTTCAAATGCATTCCCGTTTGTTTTCTTTCCTTAAACTATTCTGCTAATAACATGAACAAACATGTAAAACAACCTTCTAATCCGTAAACCTTTCTAATCCGGAAACCTTTCTAAACCGAACTTTTCTTCTGGTCCGGACGAGTTCGGAAAAGACAGGTTCCACTGTATATGCATATAGGGAAAATCAATGACCCCCCGGGGCGGGGCCAATTTTGACCCCAGGGCTTTTATTTGAACAAACTTGGTAGACACTCACTAGAAGATGTTTCATGCCAAATATCTAAGCTCTAGCTCTTATGGTTTTTTAAAAGAAGATATTTAAAGTTTTTTCGTTCGGTTGCCATGGCAACCAGAGTTCTGCATGGAATTAAATTCTTTGAACAATTTTTAAAGGTGACCACCAAAGGAACATTCCTGTGAAGTTTGGATGAAATTGGCTTAGTGGTTTATGAGGAGATGTCATTTAAAGTAAAAGTTTACGGACGGACGGACGCCGGACGAAAAGCGATCACAAAAGCTCACCCTGTCACTTTGTGACAGGTGAGCTAAAAACACAAATATCAATTAAGCTATATAGCTACTTAAAACCTACTTGTGGTACCTTCCAATCTTCATTTCGGAAATTTACAGTGACAAATTAATAACATTGAGTAACTACAAATGTTACTTCTTGATAAATAATGTACACTAGCTTGACCCTAACATGGTGGCACAGGTTTTCTAATGCAATATAATTACAGTGTTTATTTATTTACTATCACCAATATCCAAAACAGGTCAAGGTCACCTATTTATTGATAAAATATTTTAGAAAAATTACCAGGTATTCTTCTGTTCCATATAATGACATGAATTGTTCCTCTTCATGGTCTAATTGTTTTGCTGCACCAAAATCGGTCAGTTTATATATAGACCTGAAACATATGCAACAAAAGTTTAACAACTGTGTGGTTTTGTTTTGTTTGTTTGTTTGTTTCATTTTACGCCTTTTTCCAACAGTATTTCACTCATATAGGACGGTAGTTTCCTAACCATCGTTCCTGGAGAGTTACACCAGTACCTAAGACTACCTTCCTCCGCGCTAAACTACCAAAGCATCTCCCGGGGATTGAACCCACGCCAGAGAGGTTACTGGATTAGAAGTCATCGACTCTAACCCTTTGACCACGGACGCGGCTCCAACCGTGTGGTATGACAGAAAGTGTGGTTGTATGACAGAAACTGTTCATGATGTCATTATCAGAAATTTTTCCTTCATTGTTTGGGTCCGGTAAATAGACCCTTCCTAATATAAAATACAGACATTTTTTCCCGGATTCCAAACCCTTCTTGTTCTCCCTCAATGCATGCAGGTCACAGAAAATTTGCAGGATTTGTGGCTTGGTAGCAGACAACTCTAAATTACAACTGGAGACTAGCTGCCGATGTCCTGACTAAAGCTGAGGGAAGTGGCCATACAAAGTAGGCAGTGACGACAAAGAAAGTGAGCTAGGGTGCTTGCTTGAAAGACGTGCCCTTTTCAAGGCTACCTCCTTTTCATATATTCTCGGGATACTGTAGATTTAGATTCTCATTGGCCGTTACACACAACAGCAGCCTTCTTTTGGCTCAAAATTCATATATCTGGCTTAAATTTTCCTTTGAAATTGCATGATGGGCAATTATTACCACTTAAAGCTTCAAAATTAATCCTTTCATCAAATTTGGCCAAATGGTTTCTGAGAGGAAGTTGTTTTATAAAAAGTTGATGACAGATGCTCATTGTGCTCAGGTGAGCTAAAACTGTGAAATTAAAATAATTTGACCTCAAAGTCAATGCCACGAGTCCAGGTCAAATTGACTTTGATCTATTTTAAGACATATGAAGATATTCAATTCATAAATAACAAAGTTATAATCAATAGCAAAAAATCTTGGCAATGGTTCAACTTTCATTCATAAAAACCATTCAAAGCAAACATTAACATTAGTTAGATTATTTGTCTACCTGTTTACCTATTGACATAAAGCTGTCTATCTGATATACTACAAGGTATATCTGTTTCAACTATTTGATAATTATAGCACTCATTGTGACACTATCACATCCCTTGAAAATTGATTGTAATTTGTAAATTTTTAATAATGTTGAACAAACTATTAAAGGGTATGAATCTATATCTTATGAAATACTTCAATAAAATTTATCAACAGTAAAATATTGGTTCCATTATTATATGGTTGATTCCTAAAATGGTTGTAAGTAACAGAAAGAGCATTGAAACAGGAGGCTATCTGATTTGTACGAGGGGGCGTAGCCCCAAAGTATTAATCAGATTGCCGAGTGTTTTGATGTTCTTTCTCTTTTGTATCATAGTCAAACTTAAATGATGTTCTTTCTCTTTTGTATCATAGTCAAACTTAAAATCCTGTTGTCACAATATGAAACCCCAGAAAAAAGGAACCAATGAATGAGCATCTGAAAATGACATTTCTATCGCTTTCGCTTTCTCTTCCGTCACAATAAGTAAACCCCAGAAAATATTAGCCAATCAATAGGCATAGTGCATGTATATGTATACGATTTAACTCCGACACATTTTCAACAGAAAGGTCCCCGAGCTATGATACAACTGTTATTTAATACACATGAATAAGTAAACAGAGTAAAATGTTCTGGAACAAAATACTATTTTGCTATTAATTTTTAAGTAGGGTTTTATCCTGCTTTTAAGGCAATAAATTACCATATTAATTTCATACAAGCAGTTTGGTAGTATACTTTTAAAATTCAAACAATAATTTTTGAATCAGATATTGAGCTATAATTATACGCTTTAACTAAGGATAAGTTTCAAGATTTCACTAACAAATCTCATCAAGAGATTGTAGGCTGATACTCACATTAAGGTGACTCATGCGTTCATAAATACAATTTTTCAAATTTTACATGTATGCAAATTCAGTTGAAACTAACTGCCAAATATAAGTTAGATTTCATCATATCAAGACCAATTTCTAAAAAAATTTTAATAAGTAATTATAATACAATATGGAATCAGAATGCCTTCTCAATGAGATAATTGGGTAATTTGTCCTTAAATTTTTTTTGAGGCATTATCCATTTTGAATTTGAGTTGGTGGTTTTTGTTTTAATCACATTCAAAGTTTTGAGGTGGCCAAAGAATGATTCTGAGAGAGTTAGTTTTAGCCTGCAACAACTTCCTAAGCATTAACATCCCTTTTGGCAGTGAGTGATTTATGTCCAGGATCAGCCGAATGACTCATTGAATTATTGCATCATATCTATGTTTTCTTTTGGCAATTGTCCAAAATCTATAGAAATTGACACCATACATATCATTAACTAAATGCTTCATATTACAATAAGAATATCTGTCATATTTTGCGGTTCGGATCGGAATATCCGTCCCGAGGTGACCCGCCTATTGGGCGATAACGAGGCTTCCCGAGTTACTGCCCATGGGCGGGTGACCAAGGGACGGATATTCCGATCCAAACCGCAAACATATGTCAGATGTTTTTTCTTGCATATTCTACCCTATTCGATTATATTTTAAATTCTTTATCTTTATTTTCAATGAAAATTGATATCATTACAACTGTAACTACTTTCTTACAACAGCGTATGAATTACAACTTCATTCATAACGGTAAAATGACGTCATCCTAAGTGTGCCATTGTACAGCATGCGACTCACTTGAAGCTAATAACGAATTTGTATCAACAAGCAAATTCGTTGAATTTATATCCCCCGCCGAGTACTGGTTATTATTAACACAACAACGGAAGACATAAGGCTTTATTTATATATTAATCATGGCATAAACTGTAATATTCTTTGAACTTGAAGCCTTGTACCTTCAAACAAGAAGAATTTTTAAGTTTTCACTATATACATATAAGGAAAATCTATGACCCCCTGGAGTGGGGCCAATTTTGACCCCAGGGCTAAAATTTGAACAATTTTGGTAGAGGACCTATAGGTTATATCATATACCAAATATCAAAGCTCTAGGCCTTGTACTTTCAGACAAGATTTTTTAATTTTGCATTTTTGAAACTCCTTTTCTGGCCCTGTGACCTACTTATGCAACAGACCGGAACCATTTGATCAACTTTGGCAGGGGACCACCCTAGGATCATTCCTGTAATGTTTGGTTGCTGTGCAGTCATTTGTTTCTGAGGAGATGTTGTTTAAAGAAATTGCTGACGACGCATGACGACGGACGGTTGGGGATCACAATAGCTCACCTAGATGTAAAAACATCTTAATCTCCAGACTTCATTGCCATTTTCAAGGCATCAAGAAGGGATCTCACAATTTTCAAATATTTTTAAATGTTATTGTAACAAATCATTTTAATTCTTCTTTAATAAAAACTAGAAATGTGTCCATAGGACACAAGTGCCCCCACCGCGCCACTGTTCTGTCAATCTTATGACTCTAGGTCAAATATTTTTTGAAAACTAAAAATCTTTTTACTATGTAAAGGGCAAGAACTTTACAAATACTGAATAAATCCCCAAGCAAACCCCAAGTTGAAAATTGCAAATTTATACTACTGTAATTCAAGGGCAATAACTCTAACAAAACTGAAAAAAATCCACATGCAAAGTCCCAGGTTCATAGCTTCACAGTGAGGTGAATCATTATTCCTGTAATTTAGTGATGTTGATCATTATTCCTGTAAAGTTGGTCGATTCTAACTCAAGCACTCAAGCACTCAAGGATCAAATAACAACATAATGAAACAGTTTTTACTAAGTCAAGGGAAATAACTCTACAAATACTGGATAAATCCACAAGCGAAACCCCAGGAACAAACTAAATATGCTGAGCAACTTTCCAATAAGGTTTAATGACTCTATGTCAAATCCTTTTTGAGTTACATGCGACACATGTTGAAAATTACAAACATTTTTTAAGTCAAGGGCAATAACTCTAAAAATACTAAATAAATCCAGACGAAAATACCCAGGTGCACAACTACACATGCTGATCAACATTCCTGTAAAGTATCATGACTCTAGGTCAAATACTTTTTGAGTTACATGCGACACAAGTTGAAAATTGCAAAATTTTACTAAGTCAAGGGCAATAACTCTAAAAATACTAAAAATATCCAGACAAAATACCCAGGTGCACAACTACACATACTGATCAACATTCCTGTAAAGTTTCATGACTCTAGGTCAAATACTTTTTTGAGTTACATGCGACACAAGTTGAAAATTACAAAATTTTACTAAGTCAAGGGCAATAACTCTAAAAATACTAAAAATATCCACACGAAAATACCCAGGTGCACAACTTCACATGCTGATCAACATTCCCATAAAGTTTCGTTGAATTCCAGCCATTAGTTGCAGAGAACTACTTCGGAAATGAAATTCGGACGGACGGATGGACAACGCCAAAACTATATCCCCCTCATGATTCCATCGGCGGGGGAAAATTAATAATCTTTACGTAATTTTCTCACATTTTCCATTTATTTTAAAAGGATATACACATTAACTCCATTGTTTTTACCTAATTGCATGTTTTCCTCTTCAGATATTTTATAGAAAAATGATAGTCTTACTGTAGATAAAGGTATAAATTCTGTGACATTTCAATAAAAATGTGCCTGATAATATGTTGAAAGGGCCATTTATTTAGCTTATCTGAATGTGACATGTTAGCAACTTGACAAGATGTGGACATCTTGTAGAGCGAAAGGGCGCAGCTATCAGTGATTTAGAGAAATGCCTTGTTTTTGGTTGAAAAAAAAAATGTTGATCATTAAAGACGTTTTCGGTAGTTTTCTGTGCGCATCGTTATGCGCATCCAAGAAAGATAATCACGGATAATTACTCTTCAAATGAAGGTCAAGTTGAATAGTATTCGGATAAATGTTTAAATATCGG